AGGAAACCAAGTTTGATAAGAACCACTGATTCAAGGGCCGACCCAAAGGCTCAAAACGGAAACACAAATCAACATCTTCAACCAAGAGGGACCCATCTGGATTTGAGTACTTCGAAGGGCAGAAGAAGAAACGCGGCAGGCCAAAGAAGGTGGCCAAATTGGATGAGGGGCCCAAGCGCAAACCTGGGCGACCAAGGAAGAAACCGGCCAAAAAGGATGACACGGATGAGTCGGAGGTGCGCATTGCTTATATCCATCTGAAGATTTTTTCTGCTTCTGATTCATTTTTGAGTAGGCCATGGAAACAGACGAAGATAGTGAGGATGATGCTTCAGATGGAATTGGAGCGCTTTGTGAAAATATATTCACCGACGAGGAGCATTCGGAAGAAGAACCCAAGCCACCAACTGTCACAAAACCCTTACAAATTAGGCCAATCAAATTGGTCAAGCCAAAACCCGAACCCATCACTGAAGCAGATGAACCTGACAAAACTCCATTTGAACCTGACAAAACTCCTTTGAGCAAGGCACTTACTTGGAGTACACACAAGAATGTGGATATTGATCTTGTGAGTCAATTGTTTTCCCATGTACTTAGTCCTTTTTCTGATTGTTCATCCCCTCTGTTTCCCTCTTGAACTTTTGTTAGTATGAGTACAAAGACAGCATTAAGCCCGCAGGAGTAATACCACACATCTTACACGTTAACAACGTCAAAGGCGATGGGAACTGTGGCTTTTGAGCGGTTGCGGTCAGCTTGGGCCGCAAGTCTGACGAATGGGACTCAATCCGCGAAGAAATGAAGAAGGAATTCGAGTCAAACAAGGCCTATTCAGACCGAAAGTTTTTGGATAACGTATGGGGAGCAGGGGACGACCGAAAGGACATTGTTGATTCTCTTGCATGGAGAGACAAGGAACAGCAAGCCCCCCTCAAGTACTGGATGACGTTCCCGGCCCATGGATATTTAATAGCTGATATGTACCAAAGACCGGTTATTTTATTATTGGAACAGATGCCTGCGACTTATCTTCCTCTTTTGCATACTCCAAACAACAACCCTCCAATCTGTCTGATTCTTTTACCAGACTATTCTCATTTCATTTCTTTCACTTTCAAGGCTGAAATATGGCCATGCCCAAGGATTGATACATTTTGGAGTCACTATGTCAGGGATGAAGCGCTGGGTTGGGAGGATTGGATTCAAGCCAATGTTGAATTGGGTCAAGAAGTCTTGTACCCACCTGTAAGAAGATCTTTGCGCTTCAAAAAGGCTCCTATTGATGTTGAATAATATTTTTCATTACTGTTCTCTGTACCTTCCTCTGAATCCCTGCGCTTGTCTCACTTTTTATTTTAAAATCCACCCTACGCTTGTTTATTACCACACTCTTCTGTAAATTCAAATTTGGCCTATTTAGAATATTCTAACATTTGTTTCCCTTTTTTTCATTGAGAAATTCAAGTTCGGAAGGTTGAATAACCACCAGGAACTTTCCACAGTGCCTACATCAATAAAATGAGTGGGAGCAAGAATTAAAACGCAAAGGAATCATTTTTATGAAAAATAAAGTTTACCATTAAATTCTCAACCTTTTAAAGTGTAGGAAACAAATTTACAATGTCAAAAAATAATGAAAAACAAGCCGCTAAGAATTAATTGAAAAAATGAGTGGGAACGGAAATTACAATGCATAAAAATAATTTTTATGCAAAATAAATATTACCACTGAATTCTGCACCTTTTACAGTGTAGGAAAAAAATTTACAATGTCAAAAAATAGTGAAAAACAAGCCAGTAACAGTTAATTGTAAAAATGAGTGAGCAGGAAAAAAAAAACCAAAGTCATTTTTATGGAAAATGGACTTTACCATTAAATTCTACACCTTTCATAGTGTAGGAATAAATTTTAAAATTTTGAAAAAACTTGAAAAATAAGCCGTAAAAAATTAATTAAAAAACTGTGTCTAAATGCGGAAACCGCGTGTGCTGCGCGCAGCCAAAACCACGCCAAAACGAGGTTTTAATAAAAAAACACGGTTTTTCCGCGTTTTTTTATTAAGGCCCATAAAAAACATGGATTTTATCAGCAGTGGGCCGCTACGCTACACTACGCTATTTGACCACTAACTGTTAGTGTAGTGGCCTTTTTATTTCCTGGAAATTCTGTAGTGTTAGCTGACGCTAAACCCCACTACGCTAACTGTTAGTGTAGTGTAAATTTTTCTCTCAAATGTTTTGGTAGTGTTAGCTTCAAATAATCTCAGCTAAACTAACAGTTAGTGTAACTTTTTTTGCGCTAACAAAATTTAGACCATCAGGTAGTGTAACTGATTTGAAGCTAACATTTAGTGTAACTTATACCAAATTAAGCTACGCTACACTACACTACATGCCTAGTTACACTACGCTACAGTAGAATTTACACTACACATGTAGCGTAGTGTAAATCATCAATTAGAGAAATTGACATGTCAAGTGAGAATTTATGCTCTTGAACCCTCTTCCTCTGCTTTCTGTTTTCAATGGACAAGTTGTGTGAACTGTCCATATAACTGATACGGCCAAGGTCCATAGTGATGATTTTCAATGTCCTATGATCACACACAATCCCGCAGAAAATGAACAGCACAAGATGTAGAGACAAACGAACGGAGGATGTGCCTGGTGAGATTTGAACTCACAACCTCAGCAATGCTGAGTCACATACCAGAGTGCTTCCTTTACCAACTAGGCTACAGACCCTTATGGTTGTAAGGTTGGTTGGGTGGTAGTTGCCATGTTTCATGCAACAGCTCACACACTATGGTGATACATCATGGTTACACCTCAACCCCCCCCCCCCCTTGCTACATGATGTGAAAGTGGAAATTGAACAAGTGTGGGAATGGGACCCAGTAAAGTATGATCTGAGGGGGAATTGAACCCATAATCTCAAGGTAGTCTGACAGGGGAATGTGGTCTTACAAGTAAGTGTTAAAAATTGGCAGGGGGCTAAAATTGAGTGGCCCCCATTACCAACTGAAAAAAATGATGATCAATTGAGGGGATCTGGATGTAGGCCCCCCAATCAGGCACTGTCTTCAGGGTAGACTAATGCTAGTCATGTGGTCATGTAACTTTTAATCAGTTACGCTAACAGTTAGTGTAACTTTTTCACCAGTTACGCTAACAGTTAGTGTAACTGAGGGTACCACTACACTAACTGTTAGTGTAAATTTGCAAAAAGTTACACTAACATGTAGTGTAGTGGTTTCACCCACTAACACCGCTAAAATTTCACTAACAGGATTTTTGGTAGTGTTAGTTGTGCCTTTTTAAAGGTAGCTAACACTACGCTAAAGTTTTTTTTTGTTTTTTCAAAAATCCTGTAGTGTTAGTGGGCCAAAAATTCCCGCTAACGGTAACTTTTGTGTAGCATAGCTTCAAAAGCTAACACTACGCTGCACTAACACTACGGTTAGTGTAACTGGCCCACTGTTGATTTTATTTTGTAAAGCATGATGAGATCAGATAATATATGGTGAAAGGCTTTGGATTTCTATTTTTATTGGGTGTTCATCATTAAAATACATGAACAATTCTTGATGATCACCTAGGTCCCAATTTTTTGAAACTGAATTAATCCTCTTGTTATGATGGTGTTACAAAACATGGTCATGAATGTCAGCTGCAGACCATCAAATTCAATATTCTCCAGGAATTCTATCAGTGATATGAGATGCTTAGCCCTTCTAAGGCCTTGTTGAGCACCAATTTAATTTAGCAATATAATATAGATTCTTGTGATGAAGTTTTGGCAGACATGATCAGATGTTGCATAGAATGTCAGGCAAAAACTGACATATATCACTCATATTATGTTGCTACCAAACAAGGCCTAATTAGTCTTCAAGAACGGGTTTTGATACAAATTAAAACAAGCAGATGCCTCTTTACTTGAGGGTCAAGACTGAAGTGAATATCAACTTTTATGTTGATTTTTCATTATTATAAAATTATGGGACAAGAATTCAAGTTTACTTCCTTACTTGGTGATCCACATTACTTGAGCCCCTTGATGGCTTTCAGAAATACAGACCCTACCTACAATCTGAACAACCATAACTTTGTGATCCAAAGAGAAATTGATTGTCCAGACTGACAGATGGTTGAATACAAAACAGGTTTTTTTTATCAGTGGGAGAGCATTAGTCTTTATTGATCCAATTACAACAGCATCCTAGCTGAACACAAGCCCCTCAATTTGTCAAGCCTGGTTCTGCTTTGCTGGCACAAAGCACCCCTTCCAAATAAAACCTCCAAAGGAGTGGCTGGTGAGCTTGGTTGGTCTTTTGGATTGAGTACCTGAGGCACTCTGGTGTGGTGTTTGTGCCATTCCAATTTCAATCCACTTCCCCACAGATTAACCTAAGGGAATCACCTCACTGCTCAGGCTCAACGTTTTACATCTTTGGGTCTACCCTCCATCACCAAATTCCCATCTACTCTTAGTGTGCATCACTTCAACAATCAGTGATTTCAGAGTCCAATGCCTGTATTTCAATTGACGTTACTGCTCCTTGCACAGTGCATATAGCTGTGACAGGCTATATTGCACAATGCCAAAGACTCAAGCTTGTGCAAAGAGCCCTTGGTTTCTCCCCCTCATCAGCCCCATGCACAAGTTGAGCACCCCATTTTATATCCTGGATGTCAGACTACCTCCACAGGGTGGGGCTTCCCCTCCAGGTGGCTATAATAGTACTTGCTGAAGTAGAATTTGAAATGACTCCAAAAAGCCAATTGAAATATTAAAGCCCTCATGCAAGAATTCCGCGATAGCTCATAAGCCTCTCCTATGGAGATTCCCTTGGGCACGCGTGCAAGAGGGTTGGTTAAGCTAGGGTAGCACTGACCTGGAGGATTGCGCTGTCCCAAATTATTTCCCATAGGGGCTGCGTAGGGGCAGGGTATGTAGGCCACTGCACAGCTCGAATGAAATAAATTGAGACTGGGGTGGTTGAATGAGTTGAGGCTAAGCGATCGGATTACGTAAGCTGTACATCGAACAGGGAAATGGTCAACAGATCACCCAGTAGCAGGGCGCATACACACACCCCTTGACCATCACCAATGCGGACCTTCGACTCTTGTTGACCATTTGAATGACCATTGACCATGCCAGCCGACAGAAACCACCAACAACATCAAACGACTCACTTGCAATCATCCTCATTCTCATCTTCAACCTCTTCAACGATATCCCACTCATCTGCAACCTCCTCAAGGGTCGATCAAGAACGACTACCAAATCAAACCCATCATGACAACTTACTACCACAAGAACAACAACAAGGAACCGCTGAAAATTCAAACGTATCAACTTTCGATCAGACAGACTCTCCTACAAAAAAACTGAAATCAAAACGATTTGTTAGTCGACCCCTTCAACGCAATCAAGCCTGCTCCACTTGTCGAAGTCGCAAAGTCAGATGCGATGCTCAGAAACCGGCCTGTGGAGCATGCAAAAGAAGTGCAGCCGCTCATGGTGAAGATCCAACGTAATTAAGCCCTTTCTCCGATCATTCCTTGTTGACCACTCAAATAACTCAAAATGCTTTCTGATTGGAAAACTTCCGTATTTCTTTAGCATCATCATTTGTCAGTATGACATAGATGAGAACATTCTCGATGTCGAAACTTACTCCAACATCAACCATCATCTTGATTTCACTGACACGACTGCCCCAGTTCGGAAACCATTGGCAAAAATAGCCGCCTTGGAACAAAAAATTGGTCAGTTGACTCAAATCACGTATTTGAATTTGAGGCATTTGAATGAAGCTAATGAATATCTGTTTCCTCACTTATAGCCGAAATGGAGACCTTAATTTCTCAACTTGATCTGTCTCTCAATTCTAATCCTCAGCCCTCTTCAATACTTTGTTCTGGACCATCTCTTTCATCAACCTCTGAGGCCTCATCGAACATGTCACTACCCTCAATACCACATTCATCTTCAAATCGTGAGTTGAATTGAGATAAAATGATTAATAAAAAAAAATTCAAGTCGTGATTTTGATTTGAATACTGGTTGGTTTTCACGGCAGCTATGGAAGTGGTCTGGACAAATTGGCCCAGCTGTCTCCCACCTCGTCGGATAATCAGTCATTTGGTCAAGCTCTATTTCAGTCTCCAGTCAGGTGCTGGTCAACTGATGTTCGTCGAACCTGCTCAATTACTTGCTAGCCTTCATCTGCCACCTAGTCACCCGGATTTTCCATTTGTTGGGTTACTTCAATCAATTATGGCTGTTGCTTATCAACAATCCGTTTCGGGAAACCCCGATCAATTTGCTTTCAATTTATTACGCGCCTGTAACATCAAACGATACTGGCCAATGGATTCGGCCGTGCATCATTATCATGCCAAATGCGCAAAAAGGGCAATCGACCAAGCTGTGTTCAATGGGACACATCTCTTTCAAGTGACGCAATCTTTGAACATTTACTGCTACTATGCCTATGGAGCTGTGCAGCTGGTTCAAGGTAAGCATGATGCATTCTTGTTGTGTTCAGACCTGCTCGCTCACAAATTGTTTGTGTTTTATACAGCATGGGTTTGCAGTGGATTGGCCATTCAATTTGCAACACCGCTTGGCTTGAATCAACTCGAAAAATGTCAAGAACATCTTGATCGAACCAAACCAAAACCTAGATCTCTACTTCCAGGACCTCGCACAGTTGTAGAAAAATATCAGCGGTGAGCTAAGCAGGGCTACAAGCAAGCAAACTTGCGCTTGACGTGACATTATTGGCGACAATGAGAGAGAAGAAAACACGTAATTGAATTTTGTTACTTCTTTTGGATCGGTCCAATCCGGGTTTTATTTGCCAACAGAGCTGTCACCTTTTGGTTAGCATTCCAGATGGATCGTTTCTTGTCGGTCTCGGCCGGTCGACCCCATTCGATCTCGGAATCAGATATTACCACTTTGCTCCCAACCAAACCAGGCACGAGTCAAGCCACGATCGGAGTTGTTGATCTGGCCACAAACCCCCTCTCAATCTCACATCCACATTTTTTCAGCTTTCATCCTTATGATGTCGATGAATTCCAGTTGGAATTAAAAGCTACCATCTTACTCGGCCGAGTGTCAGATTGGTTGATCCGGGCTCCCGATCCAGTCGGATTCAATTTACAAAAATACTGGAAGATGCCAGATGGACCTATACCGGATCTCCGATCTCAGTTTAGTTTCACTTCACCATCTCAGACCTGCCATATTTCCTCTTCCTGACGTATCTTCTTTTTTTTTCTTCCACTAAAATGAATTGCGTGTGTATCTTGATACGAAAGGCCTGATTTTATACAGTTGGATCAAGATATCACTACATTCACGATGTCTTTACCGCCAAAATTCCATCAAACCATTTTCGAAGGAGAGGGGAGACAAGTCTCTCATGGCAAAGTGATGATTATGTTAATTATCAACTTGAGTATAATCTTACTACATGAATGTTTCATTACCAAAGAAACTTTTAACTTTAGCTTCGAGCGTTGTTTGCAAGCGGCTAGTAAGATTAAATGGGTCGGTGACCTGATTTTCGGGTCTGGCTACGATTGCAGATTGCTACATCCGTACGTCTCTTTGTTGTTTTGTGCACCACTTGATATAGGAAACTTATGAGGTCGTTTGTGACTGTTTCTATTTTTAAGCTTCACAAACTATTGTTGGGCAATAGCTGTTAGGGTGATGATGAGACAACTAGTGCAAAATGAGATCAAACTTATTGAATTAGCGACGGCGACCACCTCTACACCCCCGAGCCAACAGTTAGCCTCATCAGCAGACCATCACCACCAATGTTCAGCGGAACCCGATCAAAATCAATTGATTGGCTTGCTGAAAGTTGAAGAAGATAAAGTCAAGCAAAATCTAATCGAAATCGAAAGTTTGCTGATGTTTAATCGTAAGATTCACAATCGAGACTCGAAATTCAACCCAAGTTTCCATCAGGATAATCTTCATTTCGCTCATCAGACAATACAACAGTCACGAGCTCACCAGAACCAGCAGCAAGTCGAAAAACACCTGATTCATCAGCAACCATCGAGCAAGGCTCAACTCAACTGGGATAGAAGCTTTGAGAAAAGGAATGTGCAAGATTTAAATTATGGCTATAGCTTTGCAGACAGTATTGATCACCATCGCCAATCACTTCACGTTGATCAACCGATCCATAACGAAAAAATGTCCAACCCGATGACCGCCCATCACCATCTAGATACGGATACTCGACATTTCAATCCACTAAACCTCGGCGGAAATAATTATCAACTGGAGCCGAGAAGAAAATCTCCTCAATTCGATCAGCCAAATCCCACACAGTTCCTCGATCAACCAGTATCTCATAATCTTCATGAAAGCGATGCTCGAACTCAGCCTGATACAGATATTCTGAATCATCACACACTACAGAATCTCAACGAATCTCCTGGTTTCGAGGAACTCGGTTTAAATCAAATTTATTTTGACCAGTTGATTGTTTTATTTCAAATTCGCTTTCAGGCTTTTCGGTTGCCTGAGTCTTTATCGCGAGTGGTCGTGTGATCTTCCCTTTTTCCCTTTCTCGATATTCCTCTGGCGTTTGTCCCCTTTTGTCTATATATTGGAATTAGAATGTTAGATGAGCAATTCTGATTCTGGTAGTGTACTTGGAATTCTACCTCTCATGTTGTGTTGTGTTGTTTCTTTCTCTTTTTCTTTCTTTCTCAGAGTTTTGTTCCTCCTCCTTTCTGTTGGTTTTCTTGTTCTACAAATATCTGGATATGTGCGTACACTCATTTTGTTCATTGTTTTCTTGGTTGACGAAACTTTCGTGAATTATCTGCCGATTAAAAACTTATGGAAACAGTATCATTGTAAGGAATAGACATTCGTTTTCTGCTTGTGACTCTGAGGGTTAATGGCTCCTCCACTTTTTTCCCAGCCAGTGGCAGGAGGTGCACACGATTTTCATTTTTGGAAGTAACATCAACTCAATACTAGTCATGTCTTGTGTGGGGCATTGACGCTATTTATGATTTGAGTACAACGACTACCCAAGGCGAGTTTTGAATTGCGGTCACGTTTTGATGAAGATTCGTGGATTACTTGAACATGGGCTTAGTTTCAGATTCGTGAGATAAGTTGAAGAAAGATTGGCAAATGAGTCAATGGTTATAAGATGTTCAAATTTGTCAGGATTCTGATATGCTTTTGATGACACATAATGCTCAGTAAGAAAATGAACCCAAATTGTCTAATCACACTACTGGGTCATGGCTCAAGTTGAATGCTTCAATTGTGGATAGAATTGAATCAAGGAAATGCTTGAATTAATTGTTGTCTTCCTTCTTGGACAATCTGTTTCAATGAAATTGATAAGACAATATTGACAAGGGATCAAAGCTGCAGAAACACACTGAGTCAGCTATACCAACAGATTAGTATGTCGAGAATCGGAATCAAGTGCCAATCTACCAAGTGTTAATTGTGATGCAACTCCGGTTATAAACTGGGGGAGGAACTGGAACTTCTTTAAAGGACTAGTTTTGCAGTCTGATTCTTGGAAATAAATAAGTACCCGAGGCAGGTTCAGCTGCAGACGTTCTATTTATAACAAGAAAATCCAATCGTGAACTGGGGTGAAATAAAGAGGAAAAAGAGATGAAAACATAGCAGTATGGAAAGAATCAAGTTTCATACAAAAATTTCGTTACTATTCATTATATAACAATTAATCCACAGACTAACTTATTGAATCAAAAAATTGAAAACTAACAAAGATTGCAAGTATGTACACTACCAAAGGAAATCAAAAGAATGTTAAGTTTGCTAATTAAATTCTGATTGTGCAGATTATTAAAAGTACCTGAGTTGACTCTGTTCGCAAATTGGTGAGAAATCTAACTACAACTTAAAGTGGCGGGTGGTTTTCGAGAGATAGAAGGCTAGTAGACCCGTTGGATGATGGTTCATGGTTGATTAATGTAGACGACGAGTGAGTTTCACTAGGAAGCTGAACCGGAGTGGGTACTGGATCCATCAGAAAAATATGATATTTCCATCGCAGTGTGCGGGGTAGAATCAAAGGAGCAATCGGAAGAATACGCGTGGGTAGACAGTTTGAGTTGCTTCATCAATCGGGCTAAATTGGATTCAGTTAGACTTGGTAAGGTCGGAGTGTCTCGATGAGTGGTCGAAAATTTGCAACCAATGCTGGAGGTAATTGCTGTCGAGGAGGGTGATGTTGTGGATGAAGAGGAAGACGATATGATGCTGGTTTTGTATCCAACGTCAATTTTGAGATGTGCTCGGTTTGGCACCAATCCTGTTCTTCTTAGGTACTTCGACGGCGTGCTTGCTCGAATAGCCCTGCAGGGCTTGTCCGGCTTCCCCTCTGAGCAAGTGATAGATGAACTGAAGAAGATGCCACCGCGAATTCATAAAGGTTAGAAGAGTGTAATTCCAAGGAATCAAAAAGCATTTGTTATTCAAAGAGAGCAAAGAAAAGCAGCTTACGATGGGTGATCCACTCCGCGTGATCCCACCGAATGGAAATCAGCGCCTTCAGAGACTCGGTCAACATGAACATTGGGCGACATGGTTGTTTGTGAAGAGCGTATTATTTATGTAGTTCAAGCTGATGGTCTCCACAACCAGCCGTGGATAGAAATGAAAGATTCTCTGAGCGTATTACGAAGCAAACAAGGTGGACAACGATGAAGTTGTTGAGAAAGCGGAAGACGATCTCAGGTTGGAGATCACAAGAAAAGTAATGGAGGTGGAAGTGTTTTAAGTACGACAAAAGTATAACTAACTAAACATTTAGGTACAAACGAGCGCTTGAGTGAAGGATTGGAAAGTGTCAGGAAGGAAAAGGAGACTGGCGGGCTTGGCAAGGGTGTCGGTGCAGATGTTAAGCCGGCCTCTGGCGCAAGGATGTGAACTGGAAAGCTACGCTGGTAATATGTTCCACGCGTCGAACCCTCGTCGTACTCCTGATCAATTGAACACTTCTTTCGGGATCCTTAATCCCGTTGGACGTGGATGGATGGAAATCTATGGAACTAGAAATGTAAACACATACAAACAGCACTTACCTGCACTTACATATAACCTTAACGTAACTGTCTTCTTCAAAGGAGTGTCATACTCCATGCTAGTGCTCGTCAAGCTCAAAACCTCTTTTTACTCGCGTTTTCGTTTTCGGGGTGCAATTCTAATCGATGACGCTCCTGTATCTTGGCTGCCGTGAATAATCGTATATTTACATGTTTCTAAATTCTAGGCATGGCTCGGCGTGGCTCCGGATTGCACATGGTTAGCTTAGACTTGGCTCGATTGAACTAGTTTACATGCTAAAATCAAGAAACATTTGTATTTATGTACAATCTGTGCTATATAAACTGTGATTTGAATTAAAGGGGTTCACATTTATTTAGATTTTTCTTATTGTCCGCGTGGTCGAGTGTGAAAGGAGTCACGAAGCTGTCACCTGTGACTGTGAGTAGCGCATGTATGTCGGCGGGGGGCGGCTCGGGTCCCTGACTTCACAAAGCTACCCGGCCATAATGGCGGCACTCAGAGTGTTGTGAAGTGTAAGGTAGAGTACATGTATTCCTTGTGAGGAAAAAGCTGGATAACCAAATATCCACAAAATAAATGACTGATGTGGCCTTTGAAGGGAATCTAGCCCAACTTTTTTGCCCAATCGTGCTTACTCATGACCATGCTCATGTCTATTGCTCAAGAAGGGAGTCCATGGTTTGATCCCAAAAGATGGAAAAAACTTCTTTCTTTAGGAAAAGTTTGAAAAAAAATTCAGACATGTTCCCGAGCAAGTGATCATGCCAAGCAATGGAGGAGCCCCCAATAGCTTAATTACAGCTGGAGAGAGGAAGAATGACCCAAAACAGGATTACAAACTTCAGGAGAAGTAAGATTTCATGCATGACAACCAGACACCACAGCCTCATTATCACCAGAAATGCACTCAGTAATCACCATTCTATTGCAAGAAACATAGTCCACCACAAAAATATCGACAAAAAAAGATTCCTGAGCCAAATCAATCAGACTTTTGAGGGCTGGCTGGGAGTCCCACATGTATCCAAGTATGTAATGGGACCACTGAAAGAGGCCACTTTCAGAAGTATAGCCTGCTAAAGTGGATGATCATTATTCTTGTTTTGCATGATCAGCTTACCAATCCCATGACTGGATGTTAATCATCCACATTCAAATTTCCAATGAGTTGATTGTCATGATATTCCAAACGGGCCTTCATCATGCACAATTGCCATCTGGATTTGGAAAGCAGCTGCAGGGGAGGAGCTTCGCAGGCGCCAGATGATTCCGCAGCATGCCGATATGCAAGACCGACTTTATGCATCAGACTGCGCAGAACCAACACCCAAACTATTTTGGCGGCGGGCGGTCATTGGGAAAGGCAGAAGAACGAACAACCGAAGGAAAAAAAAAAGAAAGAAAGAACACAGGCCTCATCGCAGACCCCGAGAAGGAAGCAGGAATGGTGCTGGGAAAGAGAAAGACGAAGACGAACCAAGCCAAGCCAAGCTCAAAAAACAAAAAACCCAAACCAGCCGATGCCAGCAACCCGAAAGTGAAAAAAACGAAAGGCAAGACAAAAGAATTTATTGAGATCCCAGGCTTAAACTCAAGTCGATCGACAGATGATGAAGAGGATTCAGATGAAGATGAGAACCGAGATGGCAACTCCTCAGATGATCAGGACCTATTGGACAAAGATGTCGATCTGGGCGAAGGAGCAATGAACTTCTTGAAAGGATTAGATCAGAAAGGTATCACTCGGTTAGTGCTTGCTTCCCAGAGCCCTATCTTTCTTGGGTGTCACATCTCAGGAGCAGCAATTTTATTGATTTAGTTCAAATCCACTCCTCCTCCTCCTTCTCCTGCCCCAGCTCAAGCAAAGAGCAAAAGCTTGAGAATCGGAAAAATCGACCCAAAGAATCATCAACCTCCACCTCGAAATCTTACCAGCTTCTACCAAAGATCTCGAACCAAAATTTAGATGAAGAGGATGAGAATTTGGATGACTTGGATGAAGACGATCTAGCCCTTGGTAGCGGGGATGATGATGATATAGACTTACTGAGCGACATGCCAAGTTCTGGTTCCGGAAATTCTTTCTCTGGTAAGTCACGTCTCAACTTTTTGACCCACCAGCTCGACCAAGCTAAATATGTTTTTCTTTTTCCTTTTTGTTTAAGATTTCGATGATGAATCGACAGACTTCGATAGTCAAGATGAATACTCGACAGATAACTCAGTACTTGAAGAAGCATACTATGCCAAACGTAACCAGCGAGCCTCCTCAGAGGGATCCTCGGTTCTTGAACCGACCGAAGCAAAATTGCCGATTCTACATCCCGATGGCAAAATCCAACGGTTCCCTAAACCTTTGCCAGCCGATAGTAGTAGGGTTGTCAAAAACAAGACATCAGGGCATACCCCAGCTGGTCAACTAGCCGGAGAACAGTCTTCCAAGCCGAAAAAAACAAAGCCGTCGGATCCCTCTCTCGGTGCTCGCTTCGGCCGGAAACCACTGTCTGAGATCTTGTCTTCCGACCTAAGTTTCAAAAATCGAATCCAGTGCGCCAAACTCGAGATCGCTGGACTCTCTCAAGAAGCGATATCAGATCCTGAGATGAGCCTGGGGTCCCTTAAACGTATTCTGGCTATGTCTTGCCCTACGCTTAACCAGCCCCACGAGAATCCCGAAAGTCGGAACATGAAAATCGACAGCCCAATACGAATCATGGCTATTTTAAGCCTTCTCGCCATCTTCCTGGATATCATTCCGTAGGTCACGTTAAATTCACCTGTGCTTAGATTTTTTATTTTTAGTTTCCGATGGTAAAAATAGGATGGTCGCTGATGTCGCTACCTACCAATCGATGCAGGGGCTATCGAATCCGAGCTATCACCGACGCTGAGAAACAGGCCAAGATCAGTCAAATGGTGGCACGACAGAGGGAATGGGAAGAAGGACTGGTTAGCATTTATCGACGCTACTTGGAAATCTGCGAAAAGGAAGTCGTCAAGAATACGCCATTGTCAGCTTGCTGCCTCAAGTCGCTCTGTACGCTTCTACAATCCAAGACTCATTTCAACTTCAGCCACAACATCATGCATATCATCGTACGGAAACTCGGGCAAAGAGAATGGGATGAGCTCTCGCTGGAATGTACTGAGACTATCACCGCAGTTTTCAAAAAGGATGTCAAGGGGGATGATAGTTTACAACTCGTAAGACTGATCGTTCGCACGATCAAGTCAAGAAATTATTCTGTCCATCCCGAATTATTAGAAGTCCTGCTTTCCTTGAGACTCAAGAATGAATTGTCATCACACATACGGGCAAGTAATGACCGGGTGTACTCGATGAAGGACCAGTCGTCGACAAACCAACGAGGTGGCAAGTTACCTTGGAAAGATAGGGCGGCTCATCAGAAATCTAAATCGTCCGGGACACAACCGACGGTCATTTCGAAGAAAGCGAGGAAGATCATGAAAGCGAGGGCGGGGATCGAGGAAGAGATTGCTGAAGCCGAAGAAACGGTGAAGGTTGAAGAGAAAGAAAGAAACCAAACAGAGACTTTGAAGATGATGTTTGGATGCTACTTCAGAATCGTCAAACTACCATATCGTTCGGCTCTTCTGCCTGTTGCATTGGAGGGTTTCTCGCGTTTTGCCCATTTGGTGAATATCGACTTCTTTAGGGATCTGCTCGAAGTTTTGCGGAAACATATCAATGGGACCGCCTTCAACGAATCCGACCCGAATTCGGCCGATCTGAAGAGTGAGGATCAGCCGGTTCATCAAAAGAAATACAATCGAAACGAGTATAGAGATAAACTGCTCTGTATCGTCACGGCTTTTGAACTGCTCTCTGGTCAGGGAGAGGCGCTCAACCTAGATTTAACCGACATCATCAACAGTTTCTATGGTTTGCTGATGGATATCAGCACTCTGATCAAGCTCGAGGAGGATGATCTAGCTGATCGGAAGCAAAACAAGGACAAAAAGCCCAAGAACGAGAACGAGAACCACGGGGCCAAGTCGAGTGATCGAAACCTGAAGAGTTCGACGAGTGAGATGGTGATCAAGGTGCTCGACTTGATCTTCTTCAACCGCTCGGATCCGCCTACGCCAAACCGAGCGATCCTCTTCTCGAAGCGACTACTGACGATTAGTCTGACCTGCTCGGAGCCGAATCTGGTGCTCAAGCTACTCAAATTCCTCACCAAGCTCACCACCCGTCAGCCGGTGATCAAGAATCTCTTCAAGATCTGCCCGGCCACTGACCACGCCCGGCGTGACCATCTCGAACAGGAAGAACTCGAGTCCTCGATCGATCAGCTCGGCTGGGAACTGTTCCTGCTCAGAAATCATTGGGATCATCGGGTCCAGCTTGCGGTTCGCAACCTAATCCAGTTGTGATTTTATTTTTAAATTTATTCTTTCTATTGCCACCCACACCATACAACACTGCTTTTTTTTCTTTTTATTAATATGCTTGATGGAGAATCACAAGATACATCATGTTTTCAACTTATTCACCTGAGTTTTTTTTTGTACATTTCATTAGCGTATGATTTGCAAAAAGGAGATCGTTTATAAGAAGCATGTGACAAGGAAAACCTTGAAGTACGATGGACTGGGCTGACATGCACATTGTCCTTGAAGCATTTCAGAAGAAGAGTAGAAAAAGATTACAAGTGAGATCTGAGGGACGATGACCAAGGTTTTGAATCATGCTGAGAGGCTGTATAAGGAGACGAGAAGATGGTACAAGTTGTATGTGCTACGGAAATGAGGAGGCCAGGATCCGATTTGTACAAATTTTAGAAGCGATGTGGGACTATGTCCGATGTAGGGGGGGCATAGCGTTCTGCTCAGGCATGACGGACAAACAGGCCGGCAGGGATGCTCGAATGGTTGTTCCCGCCGAAGGGATGCTGGCCATCAGCGAGTCTGGAGGCGGCGGGACGCAGCTGAAGAAGGGCCTCGCGGGTGTAGAAGAAGTGGGCCTGCGAGCGGGTCCGACGGTGTTGGTCGAGCGAGCTGAATTCAGATCGAGAGAGTGGATATGATCGCGATCAGCAAGCTTGTGGTACCAATTAGTGGTGCTTTCTGAGACTTAGGAAGAGAAGTCGTCCTCACCTGTCTTCATTCATGCGCTCTGCTGAGTTGGTCGATGAGGAGGACGATGACGAGGAGGAGGAGGAAGATGCGGGTGACTTGAATGTGTTTGATTGAGACTGTCGAAGAAGGAGGGTGGGATTAGCTAGTTGATTGTACTATTATGTAGGCAGAGTTTTCTTCCTCTTACCATCCTGGTTTGCTGCTGGTCGTTGTGGTTTGCAGAGTCTGTCTTACGAATGTTTTTGAAGAAGAGTCGGCTGGGGTGGTTGGTTTACAGAATTTTAAGTTATTTGTTTGTTTACAATTTGATAAGATGGACAATATTCGAAAGACGGCGAGATGTCGAGCTTAACTAAGCCCTCTGACCTTGGTCTCGTTTTGGTGGGTCCGAAGGACCCCGAGACCGAAGGTCGAGGGCTTATGACCAAAGCGTCTGTGCTTGGAGGTGAGGTCATTTCAGTTTTGGTGGGACGAGAAATTTATTTTTCTGTGATGCACCTAGCCGTCACAGACAGCTATGCCACCGCTTGAAAACTTGTGGCTCCCCATTATGTGCATCTTCTCTCTAATCCTAGCTTTTCACCATCTTTGTACCCCTCACCAATGTATTTGTATCTTTTTTCTAAAAAAAATCTATTCTCTGAGAATGCCAAAATTTTATCGTATTATCTCTAGGGACGAGTAGGAAAGCCATAGCATGTTAAAGTTGAAAAAAAAGTGTAGTTTTTTTACGATCGTTCTTTTTTCATTGATAGCAGCTCAACAGTCCGCATACATTCAATTAAGAAAGCATACAGCCAGATTATAAACTTGCTGCAGTTCAAGAACACTTGGAATTCGGTAATACTCAATGACCGTTTCCAACTACAACAATGTCTCAGCCTGCCTCTCAAAACAATGCACCAAGAAGATACCGAACCGAAGCATCCAAGATTACAGCTATCCTTGATCTCATGTCCGAAATGGACCACGATCCCAAATCGTTCATGATCTCCTTTCTCCGCATTAAGAACGATCAGGCGGCTATCCAGAGAAGATATTGGCGCACCCCGAGAGGTTGGGATGGCACCTCAGCTATGATAGATGCAATTCGTGATTTCATCTGCACAGATCAAACAGGAAAAGCCTTTTGGGAAGAACGAATGCTTTCCGAGGTATGACTGTGATGTCAAATCAATTCATGATAGTAGTTTTTGCAAGCTTACTAATATTTTATTTCTTTTGGCTTTTCTTTGCAGGCCACCAGGATTGTAGTGCGTCAAAAACCTCCAAGCGGGATTTTTCCTGAAGGCGGTTACTACAGTACAAAGAAAATCACTCCAGAGTTTTTTGACGATGACAAACAAGATATGCGAGAGGAGGAACTCACTCAAACCCATACACCTTTCTTATTCAACCTACTCTATAACAAGATGACTCAGGGAAAGAAAAAACACTCCGTTGAAGAAGAAGACAAAGACCCAAATGGTTTCGAACAGCTTGAAAATGAAGACCAAGAGTTGGATACAAATACAAACAGTGATTTTTTCCGGGAAATCCTTGTGGCACCAATCCACTTAGATCATCACACAAGAGCAAAAAAGGTAAGCACTTCAGTGTTAATATTTCTATAAGCTTCCGCTAAGCATTGTAAATTTTGTAATGCATGAACTCAGACAGCCACAGTTGCATGCTCAATGGTGTCCTTTATTCTTAATCGACGGATCAACGGAATGCAATTAGCGAATTCTCTGACCTTTCTAGCCTCTGGGGTTTCAGATCGGGTCAATCACTATCTAAATTATATTGGGCTGGCGTCATCACGAAGAACAGCTCATCGTTCTCTGGAAGTCCTTGGTGTGCATGCAGAAAAAGTTATCAAAAAGAAGATGTCGCAATCAGAAGCTCAAATCATGCCCCCGTTTCTTTGCATTGACAACCTGGATTTCGAGCAACGAGTTCACGCAAAGTCCCTCGGACACACAAGTAAGATGTTTCATGGGACATGGGGTTACATACATCATTTAAACCCCATGCTAGTTTCATCTGTTCCAGCTGGCGACCTATCTCTCGAAAGTTACACTGCTTCGATGAAAAATGCAGCCGAAATCAATGTTACTCCTACCATGTTTCTTGCATCAAAAGCCGAGGAGCAACATTGGACGAGCGTCTTGAAATGTCAGATTGCAAAAGTGATCCTCGAATACATTGCCGTCCCTTCCAACAAAGATTTTCCAATCACCTCAAGCCCACCGGTTGTTGAACAAATATCGCACAACCGCCCAGACATAACCATGCTCAAGCTCATGATCGCATCAGACAACTCAGCGCAAGGAGTTGAGGATGTATGCACCGGCATCATCCAACAGACAAATCTCAGCGAAACACAGTTCTACAATCGTCTTCTCATGCTTGATGGCGATTTAGGCACATGTGTCAATGTGAAGTGTCTTCAGAACCAGCGGTTTCCTAGCTCACATGTAGAAAACAGCCTTGACAACATCTGTACTCTTCTCGGTGGTGCACACACCCTATGGAACATTGGCCATGCAATCTACACCAAACACTTCGGAAATTCTTCGGACTCGCGCGATTCAGGAGCCTGGAGGTATCTGGAATCACTTGGAATTCCATCACGTAAAACACTTGACAAGAAGGACTTTACTCTGATGATAGATAACATGATCAAAATACATGAAGCTACACTTGTGCACTGTATCATGTAAGACCACATTTCCCCTGATTTCATTTTTATGATTTGACACCGTACTAAAAATTTATTCTACTTTCAGGCTTGTGATGGGAAAAGAAAACATCTCATTGGATCCTGAACCTCAATCACTCCCATCAAAGGATATTGTTTCAATCATCAATTCCACCTACACTCGATTTTTCTCGGCAAAATCAAGGGTTGATGCAAGCAAAAGGCCATCACCAAAGCTCTCGAATCTCCAGTTGCGACTATTTGACTTTGCTTCGGTTTGCGAAGCTAACACAGCCATGAAGGCTGGAGATATTGGGCGAGTAATGTTCATGTGGAAGCGCTGGGCTGTAATGGCACAGGGTATCAAAAAACTCTCAAACTACGCTGTACACCTTCCTAGAATGATAGTTTTAATGAACAAGATATTACCTCCTGGTCTGTCAAAAGTCGTTCGTCACTCTCTTTTGGTGGCCCCAAGTGCTCGACAGAAGCACTTTGTTGCAAAAGACTTGTACCTTGAAATGCAGAATTACTCTTTGAAGTATTTCTTCAACCATTCTGGACGAGGAACCGAAATCAAAAGACTGAAAGATGTTTACTCAGTCAACATACCTTTGGTACGTGATCAATCCCCTCACAATTGCATATAATAAAAACTTGTACACTAACTATTTTTCTGCTGAAATTTATGCAGTTGCAGGGTTTGATACAGGGACTGAACAAGCAATCCGGTTCAGAGAATGTGATCCAGTCACATCGCAAAAAAATCAAGCTTCGGTCTCTAAACAACTGCTTGCGAATGGTCAGACAGAATGATGCCTGTGACATTTACAGTAACACCAAGAAAGGACAGTACATTCCAGAACGGATCCCAAGCTTCTACAACAAAGGAACAGCCAAGCTATCAAACGATTTTGATACAGGTCATCTAAATCGACTCCGACCTGCTCCTTTATCTACTTGGGATGTTGACGAAGATACACTATTAAATAAGGATGAAGGCTCCGGTTCAGAAACAGACGACAGTGATGATTCCGAGAGAGAAACCACAGAAAATGACGAAACTGACAAATCTGAAGAATCACAAGTCCAATCCAATTAATTTCCACCACTCGGTCCATCACTCCTTTGTAATGCCCCCACTCGATTCTTCTGTATCTGATCCAGTACAGCCGAGTCGCCCTGCCATTTGGCTTTTGATTCATTTTTTCGTTTTCGGTTTGCTGCACCCTTTTCTTTTCGGCTTTGCATTCTTATTTGTTTTTCTGATTTCTTTCTGATCCTTTTCACTTTTCTTTTGTTTTTTGATCTGCCTTTCTAACTTTACTTCCTCTGCTTTCCTTTTCTTCTCCTTATCTTTCTCATCCCTTTCAAACTGTTTCCTTCCCTTCTCCAAACGAGTCGCCTCTGCCTTCTCAAGTGCTTTCTGGAGTTTTTCTTCTTGATCGAGTTTCTTCTTATCAGCCTTCTCCTGGGCTATCCTTTCTTTTTCTCGACTGTCCATTTCCTTCTTATAAGCCTTATCTTCAGCCTTTCGTTGCTTCTCTTGCTCAGCAGCCTCTTTTTTCTTAGCAGCCTGGACCCTTCGATGTTCTGCATCAGCCTGTTTCTTTGCTTCTGTGTTGATTTTCTTCTGTTCCATTTTGTTTTCTAGGCGTTCCTTTTCACTAACGACCCGGTTGTTGTAGCGTAAAAGGTCTGAAAGGTAGCTCCGATAGATTTCTCCTTGTCGAAACTTCAGTACAGAACTATGTAGCATTTCCAATTGTCCCAAAATCCTCTCGCCTCCAATGTACATAGCTATACTACTAGGGGTTGTTATCTGATCAAGATTTTTGGCAATCGAATCTGCTGCATTTCTGTCGAAGAGGTCCTCTGCGACGTATGTAGACGATTCGACGAATAGGTTATCGAAAAACTCGCTGAAATCCTTGAGTAAGGTGTCTGATAGCGCATCAAGCATTGGAGTCATCTTTGTCTTGTTTTTAACTCGAGTTGTCTTCTTCTTCTTGTTCAGAACATACTCGACATCCTCAAGGTCCTTGGCGTTTTCGCACATGGTAAGGAAGTTTTCTAGATTCATCTTGGCCATGTGTTTGCGCAATCGGTCCGCTTCTTCTGGCTCACAATTTGAGCATTTACAAGGCAAAAAGCCCTCCGATTCTTCTCGCAATCTCTCCCTTGAGACATTAGGATCGTCGGCAGACCTAGGAATATATCCAAGTCTAGTTTATGTATGTATGTCAGTAAATGGAAAGCCACAGGAAATCAAACAAGAACTTACAAGTTGTCAAGTGAAAAACAAATCCTGAGACAGACTGGGGTGATTGCCAGAGAATCCATCCTCAAGTCGTCGGTTTCTTTGTCGGAGGCTGAAAAATCTTCCTGTTTGTTCTTCCCACCCTTCCGTTTCTTTTCCATGAAAAGCACAGCTAGTCCAGGTTTACCGTCACGTCCGCACCGACCGATCATCTGGCAGATGTTAGACGGATCCGCTCGCCCAAGATGAATAACCCGTCTGACTCGGCTCCAATTCTGGCCCAACCCCAAAGCCATCGTACAGGATATGGATGGGAATTCAGCTGCCTCAAAGCCACTGATGGTGTCAACCTTGTCAAGATTTCCTGTTACTGCATGGTAGCGACGGATGAGAGTACTACGTGGATTCTTTTCCCCACCAATTGTGCCTCGGGCCTCGTTCACTACCTTCAAAATCTGGCCCGTAGCGTTTCGTGTACCAGAATAAATTAGAGTTGGAGGAAGATCACAATCGGGGATCTCATCTTTTGGTCCAAAAAGTTGGAGGAGGTCGTAGGCCTTCTTCAATGGATACTCCATCGGGAATCGTAAGATACGAATTTCGGGCCTTGTGAGCTCTGCATGGATGATCGTGACGTTATCTGAGTCAAGTTTGAGATTCTCAAAGATCGCTTTCCTTGCCTCCGGACGGCAAGTTGCCGATAAGAATAAGATTGGTACGCCCTCGTTTGCCATCAACTGAGCCGCCATATTTCCGTAAGACGGTCGGAAAGCCGCAACGTCATGGGTTCGTAGGTGAGCCGATGACTTCTTTGCCTCCCCACTTGCAACCAAACCCCAGCTGTAGATGATGTGGGCTTCGTCAATGACGATCAAGGCCAACCGAGCCTGGAATTCCCGCTTATAGTAGAGTGATACAAAGAGGTCGTTATCCACAAAGGTCTCAGGGCTCAAGTAGACAAACTTGTAAACTCCGGCTAAAATTTCATCGGAAAGCGACTGGTTGAACGTCATCTTAGCCAAGTTGATTGCCGTGTAACCTTGCGCAATCTTTTCTGCAACTTGATTATCTCCTAACGCATCGAGTGGATTCAAGACTAGGACGACTCCGTCCTGGGCAGTAAACAGGTTGAGATACATCTCAGCGATGCGCGTTTTTCCAAAGCCGGTTCCAGCCATGACAAATGTATGCTGAAGTTGAACCAGGCTCATCACAGCATCGAGTTGTTGCTCTTTAGGGATCTGGCCCTTGTAAGAATTCTCGGCATCTTTCTTGATCTTCTCTCTCAAGTTCGTTTTGTTCATCTCAAGCAGTAATTTTGATAACGTTATACGCTCGATGCGAATGCGACGAGCTTTCTTCTTCTTGTTTGGTCGTCTGGACGGCATCTTTGTCCGATTCACCGAGATTGATCGAGCTCTTTTAGTTCTCGTTGATTGTACTTAGCGCAGACTTCAATTTTTCAAATGTACTTATCTCTCTCTGTCGATCCCTTTGGGATGTTGAAATTTTTAATTAACAGTTGGACAAAAGGGGGCATGGCTTTGCCTTAACTCGAGGCCCGGATTTAATCACTTTAATACTAGAAAAAAGTTTGATTGCTTTTTTTGGAAACACAAAACAAACCCCCCGGATATGGGATGGAGATGGATATGAGGAGGTGGGAGGCATCTTAAGAAGCTAGCCCATCTTCCTCCCTCCTCCATTTTGGATGTACAGGCAAGAGACTTAAGCTAGTGTACATATTGTCGAAAAAGGGACAAAATAACAATCCCCTCACTTCCAAGCGACTCAGCTTTAGTCATAAGCCTCGCTTGCACCTGCACTCCGTGCGTGCGCGCGAGGGTTATATAAGCTAGGCGAGATGTGCAGGCTTTATGAAGTGTGAAAGTGTGTGTGTGTGGGTTATTTATGGCGGATGCAGATCGACGAAGCTTGCGAAGACAATGATCAGGTGTGTGTACTCAGGGGGTCTGTGCAGAGAAGCAGGTGATGCTAGAGACCGATGACGTGGCCGGGGCGAGTCAGATGAGGATAATAAGTATCAGGTGCCTTGGATGATGTATGGCAGTATTTTCTTCCAAGCAAATCTGGAGATGTACATACAGTTCTTGGATGTATGATGTCATCTGGAACTCATATCTCAACAGATCAAGCTGCTTAGCAACCAGGAAAAAGCTTTGGTTTTGGTTTTTTGTTTGGTTTCGGGCCTGAAAATCATCAGATGAAACACTTCAACCGACCTGCTTGGCTCGCTCGGAAGCCGAGAGTCCCTCTCATCCGCCCAACAACCAAGCCAAGACTACATGCTTACTTACCCCAAGAATGCTGGAGCCAGGAGCAAGCCAAGAAGATCAAAAGTCCTCCACTCCGACGCGTGTGATCGGATGGAAAAGGATGGAAAGTTCACTTGACTTGTAAATATATTCTGTCCATGTGATCGACATCGGTGATCTGTTATGTATGGAAGTGGGACTGAGGGCGGCAGTGCTCTTGATGAGAGTATTCTTCTTCATTGACTGCGGTATGGATTTCTTCAAAGCTACAGCGGTAATAAGTTTTTCACCCATCACCCGGGCTAGCTGAAAAAACTGCAAGTTTCAATATACATATTCATCCTTGGGATTATGAGCTCATGAAGATGTTCAATTCTACACATTTTTAAATGTAGGAAATAAATTTAAACTTTCAAAAGATGATTAAAATCAAGCCGGTAAAAACCAATTAAAAAAACATTCAAAAAAACATGTCCAACGGACCAACGCAGTATTCAATAACAATCTTTGGTTTTTATTCAAAATGATTGTTTTCATCATTAACAAGTTAAACCACTAAGCAACAAACCTAAGCCCCTTTGCACTTTAACCAGGTATTGCAATGTGCAATAATGTGAGAGACATCAAGTCCTCACTTGACCTGAGCGCATTGGCAAAGTTTTTGTGACCAGATAACTGGTCTTTATATAGTACTGTGTCCTACGCCAACTTCCTATTTCAGAAATGTTCATATGCTATTGTCATTTCTAATGTTCTTCAATAGGTGTTTGTCTGTCCAGACACATTGTCACTGGTTTTTGCCATTTTAAGACACCTCCCACTATGTTTACTTTTCCAGGGAACTTGTCCCGGCTTCCAGACACCTAACTAATGAACAGAAACAAAAAAAAAAACAGAAAAATCAAAAATCAAACATATAACCTCTATTCTTGACACCATATCCGTGGACCTTTATGATCCACCTGTGCACCCCAAGTACACTACGGGTGCTGGGCTCCGAAACATTTCCGAAGTTTGTTCGGAAATGTTTCGAAAGATGCCCCCGAGGGGGGGACGTCCTGGACCTTGGTCCAGATACATTTCGAAATGTGCTCCGAAAGGGATTCCGAGAATCTTTCAAAGACCTTTCGAGATTTGTTCGAAATTCTTTCGAAAAAGTTACGGAATGCAATTAATTTCGAAGTCGACTCCGAAGCTTGACTTCGGAATGATTCCGAAAAAGTTTCGAAAGATTTTTGTCATGATCAGGGGTGTTTTGAATTTTTTTGAACTTTTATGATGCTTGGAGTGGCAAGTTGTAAATTGCACTTGGTCAAAAAGGCCTGTTCCTCTCACTCGCTTGCTCATCCAACACTGGTTTTACTAAGGCATGTATGTATTTGTATTTCCAACTGAAGAATTACTTGAGTAACAACAACGAAACCAGACAAAAGCAAGTAGAGAGCGAGAATGAAACAACAGCAGATAGGAGATGACCAAAGAAGACAAAAGATAGCAGACAACAAGCATAAAACACATAAAAGTAAGCGACATGATGAGGAAACATGATGAAAAATGATGAAGCCGAGCAAAAACGACAAGATATAAACGATCAAGCAATTTTTGTTTAGATCGCTTGCTGGTGTGCTTGTTACTCCGCTGTGTCACTTACTGTTGGAGGACAGTTATGAAAACTGGAAAGGAGATGACTTATAAGTGGATTTGAGTGTGCTCAACCAAAATCACATTAAGGAGAGCTCAAGGAAGTCGTCGTCAGAGGGAGAGAGGAGGGGGTAACTCAGGATGAGGAAGCGAGAGGCAACCGAGACACCCTGCTCAACAATTCAGCGCTTTAAATACATTTTCAAAAAAAAAATTCACATCGGTCTGGTTCCTCCAACCGAAAAAGTTTTGAAGTACTTTCGATATTCTTTCGAACCGGTTGGAGAAACCGAAGCATGGTTCGAACATTTTACGAAAGATTCATACCTACCACCGAAGAACTTTCGGAATAATTTACGAAGTGTTTTTTTAAGGTTCTGATCCGGCAATATCCGCATAAAATCCGGAATTTCACCAGATCAAAATCTTAAGCAGAATATTCCGAAATAGTTTCGATTTTTGTTTTGCAAATTTCGTAAAAGTTTCGAACTTTTTACAAAAGCTTCTTTGAAATTGCCAAGTGCATACGTTTCGAAATCGTTTCGAAGCAAAACCTTAAAAGCACCCCCGTAGTGTATGCATGTTGATCTCAGATGCTTGGCCGGAATAGTTGTATCTCCCAAGATCTCTACACCTGTGACACATTGACCCCACTAGCTTGCCGGAACTGGTACATCCTCTTGAGACATTCCTTTCTACATAGATCGATGTCTTATTTTTCGCCTTTGGCGCAACCTTCCCTTCTTCATAACCTCACTAATCCTCAATTAGATATTTGGTTCCGACAATGCCTCCAGTTGTACCCCTTTGATCTTATTCACACCTTTGCTTAATTCCTCCCGTCTTACTTTGCATTTTCCAATTCAATAGCCTTGACCTATCCCTTCTCTCAACGCGCCAGGCATTAACCACAGCCCTTTTCCTTCTACCATCTCCAGTCATATACTTAAGCCGTGCAACATACAATGCCAACATTGCGGCACGCTTCATTGGGCGCGGGAGCTTTCCCAGACTGATACCAAATCCTATAATCATTCTTTTGCTGTGTGTTGCCAAAAGGGCAAAGTCAAGTTGTCTTGCGCTGATGTTACGGCACCTCACATCCCTGGATTTCTCAAGAACTTATTCACGGCATTGGACTCCGGTAAATTTGTTCAGCTGATACAATAAGCCTCTTTGATTCACACTAATTTTCCAAACACCCACTAAAGAATCACAGATTTTTCAAAGATTTATTTGCGCATACAATAATTCCATCTCGTTCAGTCACTTGAAATGAGAGGAGCAGGCGGCCAGTGGCGAGGCACTGGAATTTGTGTTGAAATTTATGAGATTGTGATTGAAATTTGAAGTGGCGGCAAAGCCGCCATTAGACTCTAGTTTTAATTATGTCTTAAATTGTGGGAAATAAATTTAAAATGTCAAAAAATATTGAGAAATAACATATCAAGAATTAATTGAAAAACATGTCTAATTTCAGTATTAAAAATGAACCGTTAAGTTTTAGAAAAATTGGATCACACCATTAAATTCTACGCACATTGAAACCTAGGTAATAATTTTAAAATTTCAAAAAAGCATAAAAAATAACTTACAAACTGTTGAGGGTGACAAGGGACAAACACTGAAGTTCACAGACAAGAAGTCATGTGACACTCAGGAGTGAAAAAGAAAGTTGTTCATGTTCACTAGAGAGAGAAAACGCCTACATATAGACTATATACAATGTTGCTGGTGTTATGTTTGAAGCATACTACATAATGAATATAGCATAATTCAACACAAACATGTTTGCGAACAATTAATTGAGAAATGAGTGAAAAAAATAATTAATAATTGAAATTCATTTTTATGCAAAATGGTTTTTACCATTAAATTCTACACCTTTTAAAGTGTAGGAAAAAACTTTAAAAATTCAAAAAAAATTGAAAAATAAGCGGTAAAAAATTAAATAAAAAACTGTGTGTAATCGCAGAAACCGTGTGCGCTGTGCCGCAGCAAATCCGTGTGTAAACGCGGAAAAACCGTGTTTTTTTATTAATGCCCTAAGAAAAAGAAAAAAAAAAATTGACTTTTCACATTTTTGACTACCACACTGTAGAATCTATTTAAGAAATAATAAAACCAAGAATATAACCTATTATCTAGAGTAGATCATGAATTTATGCAATTAGGTACTTGAAACACATTTGGCACACTACACCGCCCCTTAAAGCAAGGGTGGTTGGAGGGGGCAGCTGACAATTGACCAGAAGGTCTTCCTTCCAGCCAACAAGGTACATGTGCCTTGTTGACTGGATTCCTGGAAGGGTTTTTGGTTTCCTTCCAGTTGACAAGGTACACGTACCTTGTCGGCCAGAACAAAGACCTTCTGGTTGACAAGGTTGTGCCTTGTTGGCCTTGAGATGGTACAGTCTCCAGGCCAAGAGGAACCCCTCTCAGCCTGGAGACTGTACAAGGTCTCAAGGCCA